CCCCCCCCCCTCCACCTGCTCCTAGGCTGCTTGTTCTCCCAGTGAGCTCTCCAGTCTCCACTCTCTCGCTCTCTCCCCACTCCGCCCACTCACATCAAGCAACCAGAAATGTCTGATGTAATTGGTTCTTAGTAAAAGAAAGGATTCGATAATGTATTATCCATCCAACCAATCAAGTGTATTATTGGATACTTAAAATGGCGGTTAAATGTCGTATTATGTTTTTTTAAATCTTTTTTTTTTCATGCAAATTTTCTGCTCGATCCTTTCCATGCCCAGGCTTAAAATAGAATAGAAAATTGAATAGAATAGATATTTCCCTCCCAGGATATAAAATAGTATGCTATTAGCATCATAATGATCTCTATACTGCAGTGAATGCACTGCATAGATGCATGCGTATAATGAGGCCCAGTGCGTGCATATTGGCCCGGCTGCTGGTCTCCTGGACCCAGGACCTACTCCGCTGGGCTAGCCATGCCGCCAACAGCTGGGCTGGCGACACCTGGCAACTAAGATTCGGTCGCCAGATACTAATTATGAGCCACCAACAGGGTTGCCGATGTCGTAAGTGGTGTGGTGGTCGTAAGTGGTGTGGTGGTTGTAAGTGGTGTGGCAAGTCGCCGAGTGATTGGCCGGTACAGCTGTTAAGATTGTTTGCCGGTTAGAGCCAATCACGGAATATCCCAGTGGGGATAGGCTAGGCGTGAGCGGTCAAGTCGGGGATAGGAGGCAAGTGTGCAAGAGTAGGCAAGGGGGTACAGTAGGGAATGGGGCCCAGTAGGCAAGAGAGTCCAGAAAGCAAGGGAGGATAATAGGCATGAGGAGGCAAGTAAGGAAGGGGCGAGTAGGCAAGGGGGAAAGTAGGCAAAGAGAGGGAGGGGGAATCGGGAAGGTGGAGAAGGGAATCCGGACGATATAAGAGTGCATATGAGGATCACAGGCGACCTGACCTGCGAGAAGTTACGGATGACTTATCGACAATCTACGAGTGTGCCCACAGTGACTTACACGCAATTCAACTGCACTAAGTTCGAAGTAACGAGGTACAGAATTGGTGCAGAGGTCGGGACTCGGGATGCGGCACCGCTACTTGGGAACGGACGGCTCAGAAATTGAGTAGCAACTTGTTCGCGATCTCGCATTGTTGATGCATACTGGAGCTACGTTTGATGACCGATCGCGGCAATAGTTGCGAAAGGTAGACAAAGGATGGGGTGGATCTGGCGGACTTCGAACAAGAAAAGAGGAGCCCATGATTACACTCTTCAGAGCCCTCGTGCTCCTCATTCTGAAGTACTGCTGCCAGCTTTGGGAGCCCTAAAAAGCGGTTGCGGTGTGGCAATTGGAGGCAGTCCAACCGACCTTCACGTCCAGGATCAAAGATGCAGGACCTTTATTACGGTGACAAGTTAGACCATTCAGGACTGTACTCACTGGAGAGGAGAAGGGAAGAGGTATATTATATACTCTTTCAAGATGCTAATTACACTGGCCCCAACTTTTAGAGCAAACCTTTAAAAATAGTGACATATCACAACGAAAAGAAAGTGGAGACCTTGCAGTATGGCCATTTGATAACCGAGCTGTGGCCAGAGTTCAGACTCTTCGGGAGGGATTTTTAACAGAAGACAAATGAAATAGTTTTTGAGCACGATCCAACGAACCCTCCTGGTCCCGGTGATGAGCAACGTCTTCCAATGGACGGCTTGGGGACGGGGTACGACGGAGGCGGCGCACTAGTGTGGTCGTGGGCCAGAGGGCGATATGGGGGGAGATGTTGCGAAATGAGGTGGTCGAGTATGGCTAAGAGGTAAGATGTAGGGAGGCTATATAAGTAGAATTTGGGGGATCAAGAAAGGATTAGCTCAGCTGATAGCGCAATGGGGGCCGAAGATACGGAGTAATGGGACGGAAGATAAGGCGTAATGGGCCCGCCATTAGCGACTCTTGCCTTAGCGTTTGCGGAGCCAGAACTAAGAGCTGGTTTTAAGCGGCCAGCCAAGGTTCCATCGTGCGACATTCCTCTGGCTGAATATTTCTACCAGCGCTTTTAACAGAAACAAAATTGGTGACACTGCCTTCAACACTTCATCCTAACCAAAAAACCGAAGGATAATAGCCAATGACTAAAAAATATAGGGCATGTAAAGAAATTCGCCATATGATTCACTCCAAATGATGGTATTTGCATGATATTTTGCACCCTGTTTTCACTCGTAGTTTTCTACTATTGAGGAATGGGGGATGGTGGATGAGGAGGCAAGGAGAGTCACGGTGAAGAGGCAAGGGGGGTGGGGGGCAGTGAAGAGGACAGGGGGGTGGGGGGGCAGGTCACTGCCCCCCGCTTGGAGGTCATGAGGCGCGTGACGTAACGGCCAGACATGGTGATAGTGGGGTCTGGTGATGCTGAGGTCCGGTGATGGTGACACGGAACCATGGTGAGTGGTGATGGTGAGACGGAACTACAGTGAGGTGGGCGAGTTGATAGTACAAAGGGGATGAGATAGTGAGCCGTGGTGGTGGGGATCTGGAGTGGTGGTGATCCGGGTTGATAGTAAAGCTATGTGATAGTGAGCTGGAGTGATAGTGAGGCTGGCAATAGTGAGGTGAGGTGACAGTCCAGTTTTTCAACTCCGCTGCTTCGTTGCTTTCGCCTTCGCTTTCTACACAACACGGAGGCCTGTATAGTTTGTGTGTTGTGTGTCCATCCGTTGTATGTTGTGTGTTCACACCCAATTTGCTTCGTATTTACTAACAATATGCTGCGTGTTTGTCTTTTGTTGACATATTTTAGCTTCTATTGTTCGCGCCTTTGAGTCAGGATGATAATGGCGTATCTGGTCCCACAGTTAACACAATAACGCAACTAATTCACGATATAAACATTACATTGCTTCGACGAAAATCCACGTAGCAGTCAATTTATCCTCTATGATTGGTGAATCGTCTACGATTGGTATCGTCTATCCGTCGCTGATTGGCTGACAGAATTACTAACGCGTAAGTATTGTTGACAGTATGGCACCAGCTCATGGAGTTTACTAGTTGCCGGCCGGTCATATCCTAAATGTCCAGTAATGCTGAAATGCAGCAGAACTTCTGTGCTTGTTTAGTTGACAACATCTGCTGGAATAATCGCCCTGGACACATAATTAAAAAAAAGTTAAGAGATCGTAAGTTCATCAACCAATCATTGGCGCCTTTCAAGCAAAATCCACCAATCATAGACAAGAAAATAGAGCGTAAGTACTTACGTTCACTTAGCGAGTTTTGAAAGTATGGCCCCTGGTTATAACGCTATAATATTAACCACAACATGACAGCCTCATACGGTGCAGGAAGCCTGTTACTGTAGGCGTCCTGTAGCCGTTTTATAGGCGTGTTATCGGCGGCCGCCCTGCACGTGTGTCCATTGGTTAACATAGGCAAGCAAAGCAGGCCTCTGGAAAGGGCAGCGCTGGAAAGGATGGCGTCCCGGTCAAGGTGCCAGCCACACCTTGATGTACTGTCCAGCTGCTGGCACAGCGTCCAGCTGCTGGCACACAGCGTCCAGCTGCTGGCACACAGCGTCCAGCTGCTGGCACACAGCGTCCTGCTGCCTGTCTTCCGTAATTCAGACGTCGCGCTGGTCCCACTCTAACTACGCGTATTATTCCAGTAAACAATTACGTGTATTCAACATGTTCCCGTGTATTCTTCAGGATCATGTAATTTTGTTCGAGGATATTCTGGTACAAAGAAACTTTGGAGTAGGTAGGTAGGTGTATTTATTGCATGTCACGACAGGCTTCTGCTAGAGGTTGGGACTGTGAGTTCAGTCTCATTGTCCAGTCTTAGATAGACCACAGCACCGTACATACTGCTGGTCCCATGAGTGGAGTTTAGATGATGAATTGTAGCTTTTTTTGATGGTTTAGTTGGCATGAATGTGGATGGCTTTTGTTGTTATCATTTTACATCATAGCTTTCGTTGCATAACGTAGCTTTCGTTTGCTATCTAATAAAGATTTCGTTGTATACGACCATAAATCCATACGAGAATAACGCAAGTCTTTGAATGCAGGTGACTCATAACTCTGTGGTTGCAGGTATGGTTGCGGGATCGTCAACCACCCAGAGTCTCATCCACCATCTCGACGATGACGTGATCTTCAACCCCACCAACATCTCTCCTTCTCCTCCTCCCTTTAATCCTCCTGTCTTCTCCTGGTCCTCCTGACTGCTACTTTTCTGTCTGTTCCCGTCAATCTGTCATCTCCCGTCAACCTGATATATCCCGTCAACCTGACACCTCTATCATCCCGACACCTCCCGTCAACCTGACACCTCTCGTCATGCCTACCGTCGCTTTCCCGTCTGCGGGCGTCCCGATTTTCCCCAACAAGAGCAGCAACAGAGGGGACACAGCCCGCGGTCACCCCAGCCGGCCTGCACTCGGGGGTTGTCTGGGTGGGTCATGGGACCCACTTGGGGATGGTGGGGAGCTTGGCAAACTGCGACATCGCCCACTTGGCAGGTCGTGGGATGAACTCTCCTCGCAGGTACCAGAGCAACCTGCGCTAGTGCCGAGTCCTGCGGATGACCTGCAGTCACCTGCTTTCAGCTTCAGCGACCTACAGTCACCGACATTCAGCTTCAGCGAACTTCAGTCTCCAGGCATCGCTAACCTTCATCGTATGTATGAAGTGGAGTCACCATCCTACCATGGCATGTACGACAACCACGCCACTCATGGTCATTACTTCACCTATGATGAAAGCCACACTAAAAACTTCCTTAATCAAGATGACGTGCAAAATCCCATCTTCAACCCCGCGTCTCCTAATCTTCTTGGCTCCCCAGGACTGATGCCGTCGTCGCCAGGCTTCAATTTCAGTCAGTCCCCAGACATGTTCGCTCAGTCCCCGCAGTTCACGTTCCTTCCCAACTCTTCTCATGGCGGAGCGGCCGACCTTTCGAGGTTCCCGACTTTGGCGGCCACTGAAAGTCACTGCAATTCTAGCGCAATCACCTCTAATGTCGGGGATCCTTGTAGTCCCAATGAGGTTAGCTGCACTCCCCCACAAGGAGGCAGTTCCAGCATAGATGCGTTGCTCCTGCACACCCTGGCACGAAGACCCAAGAAGAAAAAAGCCTTTTGGAACTCGTCTATTTTCGGCGCCCCTAAGGTGGCTCTCAGCGACGACATGACCTCCCCTCGCGACGTCATGACGGGCACTAAAGGCCTGCTCAACGAGCCCGGCCAGAACAACTGCTTCCTCAACAGCGCCGTGCAGGTCAGTCCGTGATACGAGATATGTAATTATTTACTTTTATTTACTTTTATTCTTGTCATTGCACTTGCAAATTCTTTACTTTTATTCTTGTTATTGCACTTGCAAATTCTTTCTCAATTTGTATTATTTGTGCGCTCGTATTGTCTGTACTGATTTTGTATTATTTCTCTCTGTGCTCGTATGGTCTGCGCTGATTTCGTGTTTACCATTAATTGTATATTTTTCTTTAATTTCACACAGTTTTGTTTGGTTCTAACGTACGTATCATTTTTACACATTGAATTTTACGAGTTGGCGCCGTATAACAGTCATCTCTCACTTGAAGCTTCAGTTGCCATATGCTCGTTTAAATAATTACAATGATGTAGTTATTTATTGATTTACCAAGAATCACAATGAGGTTGCCCCTGAACGAGCGTCTTCCAGTAGCCAATCATAACGCGTGATATTTTGCGGCCACATTCTCGTCACGAGCTTGTCGCCCGCGGTCGCCTTGGCCTTTGCAATCGAAGCGCGTGTCGCCTGCCTGCTTCATGTCGCCTGCAGTGCCGCCTGCCTGCTTCATGTCGCCTGCAGTGTCGCCTGCCTGCTTCATGTCGCCTGCAGTGTCGCCTGCCTGCTTCATGTCGCCTGCAGTGTCGCCTGCCTGCTGCATGTCGCCTGCAGTGTCGCCTGCCTGCTTCATGTCGCCTGCAGTGCCGCCTGCCAGCTTCATGTCGCCTGCAGTGNTGCACTGCCCTGCTTCACTGCCCTGCTTCACTGCCCTGCTTCACTGCCCTGCTGCACTGCCCTGCTTCACTGCCCTGCTTCACTGTCCTGCTGCACTGTCCTGCTTCACTGTCCTGCTTCACTGCCCTGCTTCACTGCCCTGCTCCACTGCCCTGCTTCACTGCACTGCTTCAATTTTCCCGCCGTTCTGCCTCTCCCGCTCCTTTATTATGCCGCCTTCACACCGCACGTCCTCGATCGTTTCTTCGTCTTTTCATTCATCTCAGTTTTAAATTTTTTTGTTTTCGTTTCCGCTGTGTAAGCGCTAACCCCAACCATGGGATAGCATGGGAGTATGATGGGGTCGGGGCTGTGTGATGGGTTGAGGGCTGAGTTGGGAGCGGGGTTGGGAGAGAGGGATCAGGTAAAGGGTTGGGGTTGAGTGATGGTTAAGGAGGAAGGTGATGGGGACGTTTCATCCATAAAAGCGCTGACTGCTCCACGCGTCTCTTCTTCTTTTGATTTAATTAATTTCTTTCTCGTCATTATTTGTTGACATCAAAGTTTTAAATCTTGATGTTGTTTCAACGCTGAAGTTTTTGATCGCTACGTCGTATCACAAACTGTCGCATCACAAACTGTCGCATCACAAACTGTCGCATCACAAACTGTCTCATCACAAACTGTCGTATTTGTAATGTATTTAACTATTCTTGTTGCTGTTCCAATTTTTATTATAATAATTTATTTCATATATTTTCTAGCGTTGTGTTTGAAATATATAAAACTCTTTATTACATTATATGTAAAGCTAAAGATTTTTTTTTCCTATAACCAAATTTATTTCCTCCGTAAAAGCTTCCAGATTCAAATTATCTTGAAGTTCGCGTGTGCCGCTGCTCGTAGCTTTCCCCACGTACACCCACTGCCGTTAGCTCACTTTTTATTTCTTTTCGGCTCTGAATAATGGTGGATTAATTGATAAATGTTTCTTACTAGACTCAGTATAATGGTGAATCGATTAATGAATCGCACAACTTTCGTTCATCGTTTCCCGCCGCTGTGGAGGTCACGTTTAGGGCGGGCCGAGACGGTTGACCGTTTTTCAGTGCGTCTCTAAGAACCAATTAATTAGAACTTAGAATCTTCAATAGTACCATCTTAATGTGCATTTAATTTACATTGTTCGCACCCGTTGCATGGATATTTATATATGATCTTGTGGTTATATGCAAGTGAAGACTATAGAGTGCGTCTGCTCTGAGCAGCGAGCGCGAAATACTCGGTTCGCGGAGTGGCTGTCATGGAGACGCCAGCACCATGCAGGCATATGAAGTTCAAATAATGTCGATTAAACGTTGTTTTCGCGAAATTAACTCGTAATCAACGTTGTTTAAACTTCATTTGCCAGCTGGGTCTGAATTTGATGGAGGATACGGGTGTGGAGAAGTTACGACGACGTAAGCTTTTAGCATATGGTAGGAATTACGGCCACATTATAAAATAATACTATGCGGACCTTGACGTTAGAGCAACGTTGACTATAAGCTGATGTTGTTGAAACAATATTTATTCAATGATATTCCAACGTCAGACATTTGTAGGGCTGCGTGGCTCCGGGAGAGGTGTTGACGAAGCGTTCTATGGATGATGGATGATAGGGAGGCTGTTAGGCGAGATCCATAGCCCCAACATCAGCTACTGGATCATGAGATTTACGATCTGCGCGCGGATCTGACCTCTGATGAGCGCGATCAGAGGTTGGATCGCTGCAAAGGTTAGGTCCGATTATAAGTAGGTCACGGTAATATATCATATTGATAATATATCATTCATCATAAGGTGGGCCTACGTGTGGAGGCGGTTATCACTCACAAAATAGCCCTGATTTGTCCATCAGGAGGCTATCGCCGCACAAATATTACTCTTATTTCCGTTGATTACTTTTACCTCTGATTATTGATTCTGACCTTGATTACTCTCAATATTACTCTAATTTCCGTGGGACGTTCACCACATGACAATTACCCTGAATCATGCCAACCATTACCCTGATTCATGCTCACTGCACTGCTGCCCTACACTGCACTGCCGCCCTACACTGCACTGCCGCCCTACACTGCACTGCCGCCCTACACTGCACTGCCGCCCTACACTGTAGGTTACTCAGGATATCAACATTTCTCTGGTGATGCAGCAAGCTACAGCGCTCACTACTTGCACCGCGTTGTAGTCTCCTTACAGCGGCCACAAGAGCGGTATTCACTTGCTGTTTTATTTGCTTGCTTATTCTTGTACATATTGTGACGGAAGCAGACTATTGATGCAGGAATGTTTTGTCTACATCACACTGCATCCACCGCACGGTCACCCTTAGCTTGCCCCGTTATTGTCTAATTGAGAAATCATATACTTGTATACCGGTATACCTTCATTTTGAAAGAAGTTATATTACTGTGTATTATATTGTAGTAAACGTGAAAATTACTTCGACGATTGTTCTGAAATTTAAATCCACCCTTAACAATGCAATAACCGCAGCGTATTTCGTTAATTAGAGACTGGAAAAATTCTGAACTCGTTGACCTCTTCAATGGGGACTTTTAATTGACATCGACCTCCCCGAATTGTCCACTCTTAAAAGTTAGTTTGATTTTTAACATATTTTTGTCGAATTTTACTATTTTCATTCATCAGATTGAATTAGGCATTTTAATTTTTTCGTCACAAGAAATCAATTTGTATTTAAACTCTTGAGATATTTTTTTTTCTTCTCAATCGACCGCCCTTCTGAACCCTGTATATTGAGCAACTTGTTGAATTCTGTCCTCGGTCCCTCCTATAGGCACTTCGCCACTCAATTCTCTAGATTTAACTTAAACCTATTTTTTTCTACCTGTTTTTCCCTCATGTTGTATTCCAAGATCTAGAAATAATTAATAATAGGGTTTAAGATCCCACACTTCCAGCTGCTGGAGTTCCTCATAGGCTGGAACGAAAGAATCTTGAGGAATAAATAAGTCATCGTGGAGGCCTGGTAGAACAGTTGTGGAATGTCTTCCAGCAGCACATTAGTTTAGGCCTACAGGCCGACTGTAGGTCTACTGGTGTCTCCGTAGCTCTGCCAACCCTACACTAATTGTGACATGTCGCTTGGCTAGCTAGCAGGGGCATGTCGCTTGACTAGCTAGCAGGGGCATGTTGCTTGACTAGCTAGCAGGGGCATGTTGCTTGACTAGCTAGCAGGGGCATGTTGCTTGGCTAGCTAGCAGGGACATGTCGCTTGGCTAGCTAGCAGGGGCATGTTGCTTGACTAGCTAGCAGGGGCATTTTGCTTGACTAGCTAGCAGGGGCATGTCGCTTGGCTAGCTAGCTGGGGCATGTCGCTTGGCTAGCTAGCTGGGGCATGTTGCTCGGCTAGCTAGCAGGGGCATGTCGCTTGACTAGCTAGCAAGGGCATGTTGCTTGACTAGCTAGCAGGGGCATGTTGCTTGACTAGCTAGCAGGGGCATGTCGCTTGGCTAGCTAGCTGGGGCATGTCGCTTGGCTAGCTAGCTGTGGCATGTTGCTCGGCTAGCTAGCAGGGGCATGTCGCTTGACTAGCTAGCAGGGGCATGTTGCTTGACTAGCTATAGCAGGGGCATGTTGTTTGGCTAGCTAACAGGGACATGTCGCTTGGCTAGCTAGCAGGGGCATGTCGCTTGGCTAGCTAGCAGGGGCATGTCGCTTGACTAATTGTGCTCCACTAATGGGGTCCGAACTTGGGTTTCTACCTACACAATTTTTCCAAGTAGGTGCTCGAATCGAATAGTAGGTGCATACACTAATTAAAAATCATATTTAAATTATCACTCCACTCGTTTCCTCCAGTTTTGCAATGCCTTGCTATTCTCTAACTAAAAAAATCCAGGTCCCATTAATTGCTCGGCACGACCGCTATCTTCAATACGCGCTCCTTTTAACAGCTCCTACATATTTGTGGTGCCAGGCTTAGACACACAAACAAAACCGAAAAAAATTTCTCTGACAAATTATAAATCAGATAAGGATAATATATCGTCCGTAGACTCACGCGCCATTTTCTGATTGGAGAAATCGTTTTCTATGCCATTTTGACGGCAACTAAAATACACCTTGCCAGGCGTGGACAACGCTGGATGGGCTTGGCTTGGGCAACCTACAAATTACAAAAAATTAATTTTGATTAATTAATTTTTAATAATTAATTAAAAGTGATTTTAATTAATTTTTAATTTAATTTAATTTTGTAGTAATTAATTAATTACTACAAA